GGGAGTGGGTGGCATACAAATCAATAAAATCAATCAATCAATCAATCAATCAATCACTCCGATCTATGGGCAGGATGACAATATAGGAGGCCCTTGGCTTGTGGCTGCAATCGAGCTGTAATTACAGTTGTCAGTCAGGACGGTCACAAAGTGGGTCAACAGGCCACCCCTCCCAATTTCACCATCTTTTTTGTGGCGGTCATTAAGTGAACCCCGTGGCTGTTAAGCGAACGCGTCATTTCTTATGGGCGTTTTTTTGGCTTGGAGAGTGGAATTTTACACCCTGCATCCCCGGATGAGCAAAGCTGGGCACCGCCCCACAGACGCCTCCTTCCCACGCGCCCCAGCCCCTCCCCGCCCACCTGGAGGCCTGCAGGGCTGAGGCCTTGAGGTCGGCCCAGACGTGCAGGAAGTAGCAGCTGAGGAAGACTCTACGCTGGAGGAGGAGGAAGATGAAGCAGATGCTGTCCCAGATGATGCCGGCTTCCTCCACTGGCAGTGCACAGTCCTGGTTCTTGTCCACATCCTTGGCTGGCAAAGAAGGGAGGAGGGAGGGGCTCAGACGGGGAGCAGAGCAGGAGGGGGGGCAGATTGTGTCCCCCCCCCAGCTGCCTCCTATGGAAACTCTGGGCTCTCCCACATTCCCAGCCCCCCCCGAGGAGCAGACTGTCTCCCACTCAAATGGACGCCTGTGTACAAGCTCAGCAGGTTAGAAGTGTCATGGGGGGGGGGGGCAAAATGCCTCTTTTCTTTCAAATCTCTTGGCCTGCGATTGAGGAAAACACTTCCGCTCAAATTGACTGGAACAGGAGCCGGAATGAAAGGTCAGGTTTCAGGGGTTGTTTATGCAACACGCTCAACGATAACCTTGGGTAAACGTGGCAAAAAGGCTATCTGTGGAATATGGAGCCAAAGTAAACCTAAATCAAGTGGGTTGAATCTCTTCCAGGCTGCCCAGAGGGAGGTGTGTCTTGGCCTTTCTCTAAAGTCTTTTCCCTACAAGATCTTCTGGAGTCCCCCAACTGTCGCTGGGCCAAAGCAACAGGAACCGCACAGGACTCCGGTTGCTTCGGTGGCAGTTGGGGGTTGCTGTGAAGACGTCGCCAATCGTCAGTGGAGAAACGGGACAGCTACGGGGCCCTTCGGCTCCCGCTCTTTTTCTATGCTCCGGACTGGGAGGGCAGCTCCCAGCTCCTCAGAGGTCAAGAGAAGATACTCACGGTCATAGTAACCCTTGACGGTGCAGGCCAGGCTGAAGAGCTGAATGACCCAACAGAAATTGTTCTGCATTTGCTGGACGAAGACGCAGGAGAGGAGCTGGCGGAGGAGAAAGGGAGTCACACCCCTCCCAAAAGGGATGGTCGGCATTCAGACCAAAGACCCGTATTTTGCATGCACAACTGGGCATCTTTTAGTCCGGGAGAGGGAAGGGCCTTACCGAGAGCATGTTCTTGGCAATGATCACCGTCACGTTGTAGAGGATCAGGCAGTCCCACAGGATCAGGCGGGCACGCAAGGACCAGCGCAACATGGCGGTGCCGAAGAGCAGCAGGTAGAAGCAGGCCATCAGGTAGCCCAAGCCAAAGATGCTGATGCGGTTGGCCCCAGCGATAAAGACAACGACCAAGACGAACCAGAAGAGGTAGCGGAAAACACACACCTTGACTATGTCCAGGTGGGACCTGGCAAGCAGGAAAAAGGGAAAGAAAAAACGGAGAAGAAGAAGCAGAATCGAATCAAAAATCCCACGAAAGTCATTGAATCTTTGTTGGATCTTGGTTGATTTAATCCCAGTTGTAAGGGACCTACCGCATTTTTCGGAGTATAAGACGGATCTTTTTCCCTCAAAAAAGAGGCTGAAAATCTGGGTGCGTCTTATACACAGAATACAGCATTTTTTTGCCTCCCAAAACCCCACCCCCTTCACCAAAATGGCCATGCATAGCCTCTAGGAGGCTTTCAGAGGGCTCCTGGGGAGGGCAGAAATGAACGAAAAAAGGACCGTTTTTTGCTCAATTTTGTCCTCCCAGCCCCCAGGAGTACTCTGAAAGCCTCCTAAAGGCTATTCATGCCCTTTTAAAAAAAGGAATGGGCCTGTTTTCGCAAAAAACGGACCGTTTTTGGGAGGTCTGCAAAGTACAAAAACTTTCTTTTTAATTTGCCTGTTCAAAATCTTGGTGCGTCTTATACTCTGAAAAATACAGTAAATGCAGTGCTGGTTCGAACACCCTAGGATAAATCCTCCTTGGGAGCATGAAGTGAGCCAGGAAACGCCACTCAGGGGCAAAACCTGGCTAATACTAGCCCGGGGAGGGGACTGTTCTGATCTCACCTGCAATTGACAAAATTGGGCACGGGGTTTGGCTGCCCCTGCAGGGGCTCCAGATGCTCCCGGTTGTCACCAGCCAAATGCACCCATTCCTCCGTTTGCTCGTTGACAAAAACTTTCCACTGCTGAGATGCGCAGAGGAGCAAGAGGAAGTCACCTGTGGGAAGCCATGTTTTGTTTTGAATGCCCATCACATCAGAAGACACGGGAAAGCAGATGTGGCTGTGGGTGCCAGAAACGCCTCCCGTTTTGGAGAGGAGGAACAGCCCACTAGGACAGTGGTTCCCAAACTTGGCAACTTTTTAAGACTTGTGGACTTCAACTCCCAGAATTCTCCAGCCTGGCTGGAGAATTCTGGGAGTTGAAGTCCACAAGTCTTAAAGTTGCCAAGTTTGGGAACCACTGCACTAACACGTCACCTCCCATCCCAAGGGGTGTGTCCCAATTTTGGGGTGTGTGTGTGTGGGGGACAATCCCAAACTATATTTAAGAACCGAACGACATCTTT